TCAGTTTTTGTCTTGTCTCTGGCCTTCAAACATTTCCTGGTCACTCTCCCCTTGGGCAAATCATCCTTGCAATCATCTTTTCCACAGGGTTTTCAGTCTTCAATGCTATATTCTGCTTTCTTTTCTGCAGAATTCTAGCCATCTGTACAGTACATTTCACTTACATTTCAAGACTGTCAGTAAAGGCCCTTCAGTACCTTTACACATGCAGACAAGTAGTGTTGTTAGTTGTGAAAACACAATGCTTGTGCATTATAAAATCTGTCCCTGAGATTTTAATTCACAGACCTTGCTTTCCCAACATGTCCTCTTTACTGTGTTTGTATTCTCAAGACTCATCCTATTTAGCTTGTGGCTTGTGGTCCCTGGTATAATTCAAATATTTACAAATATTCCTACAAACATCCTTGCAGTGCTCGAAGTCATTCAATGTGTTGTGGCTGAACCAAGTTAAGACTGGGTAGGAACCAGTCCTTCCCCCAGTGTAACTGCTATTTCAGGAAGCAACTCCCTCCTTTTAGATTGCAAGACCAAGATGTAACTGATAGAAGCAAATTACAGACTTTAGTAATTAAGCAACACGTTATTAAGGAAATGGTCAATCTATTAAGTAATCAATATACTAATTATTAAATAAACACACCACTGTTGCTAATCTGCAATTATACTGTTTTCCACCCCATTACACACAATTATAAAGCTGTTAATTTCACACTCCTAAATCTTATGAATCACATACATCAACTAGTCACTCACAAATTCATCACCTTCTCTGCTCTACATGACCTATCACCATGGTGGAAATCTACTCCTTTGCAGCCCACCCTCTCACAGCAAGTTTTTCAGACAGTGCTGACGGAAAGCCAGATGGGGAGTCCTGACAGCTCAGGTTGCAAATCAGTGATGCATCTGTAAGCATCTGCACTCCTCCTTCCAGAAGGTTCCCCTGTCCTTTGTTCCTTACCTCATTTTATGCCTTATTCATCACTGTTTCTATTTCCTGAAACAACCTTTTTGCCACTGTTGTGCCTCCCTTTCCCTGCCCAAGTTCCTCCCTAAGGCATGACACATCCATTGTTAGTTTATCTCACTGGCCAGATTCAGCAAAATCTGCACCAAAGTCTGGGGTTCCCAAAGTTGTTATCAGGGCAATCTCAGCTTTATAAAATATTACTGATACACCCTGCCCGGGTATAGGGGACCAAAACCTCCCAGATCTCCAGTTCATAATAGCATTACCTTACCCTATGCATTCTCCGAGGCAAATAAGTCTACTTAGCCTTGATTCCTCCACCTAGTTAAGCTCCTTCTCTTTGCATCTTATTGTGAAGAGAAGACCAGCAAAACAAAGACTCACATCATTTGTGTACTGATCCACCCAAAAACTAGCTGTGGAATGGGACCAGAAGAGATGTCCCAAAGTGAACATGACCATGACACAGTAAACCTGGCAAGCTGGCTAGATATTGTGTATCCAGAAAAAGGATGGTCCTTTTTCTGGGAGAAATAGTTAGCACAGTGGCTGACATAATTTCTTTTGGAAAACATCAACTTAGCAGCAAACAGGAAACAGGTGTGTGATGACCTGAAAAACGAAAACCTGGGTCATCATCATATGACACCCCAAAGCTACTGGATATTTTTGCCCTTACCTTGCTGATTAGGAGGCCGCCGCAGTACATCAGTGCTCTGATGGGTAAGAACTTTCTTGTCATTTCTAATCTAGAGATAACCCATGACAATTTCAGACCAAGTTGAGTCTTACTTTTGGGCTAAGTCACTTTCTCATGCTACATTATTTATAAATAGCCGAAAAAATTTTTGTAGCTGCTGTAGACCGTGGAGGTTTCTCCTGCATATATAAGCTAGCTCTTTCAGATTTCCTTGATAATTATATTCTGTACTTGGAAACTTGAACTGAAAGTGGACAATGAAGAGAATATAAATACGTCTGTCTTTCACTTTGCATCTGTTCTGTCATTTTGTTCTAGTTTAATGCATTGTGAGCAACGTGACGTGACTAATGATTCCAGGCAGAAAAATCACCAGAAGACACTCAGTGTTGACTTTGTCAGCTAGGAAGACAAAATAAGAAAAGATGTGGTGAGCAGCACTGACATTAACATCAGACACAGTTCAAACATTCATTTGGGCTTAGAGGAGGCATTTAATACATCTTTGTAAAATACTCCCACCCATCCTTAATACCACTTTGTTTAGTCTTTTCATAAAAGACATACTAAATCCAGGAGCATGCATGGGAATAAAAAATCTCAAGTGCTTTGAGGTAACCAGGATGGAACAGCAACGAAAAAATCTGACATCCCATGGCACAGTGTGAAAACAACCCCAAGCACGTAACTATCTTGAGCACTGAAGGTCTTGCCATTCATCTGAAGGCAACACGCTGACACTCTAGGAGGAAAAATACAAAGAAACAATCATCTCAGGAGAGTCAAACATTCACTCAAATCTTGGTAAGAAACAACATGTCTTCCTTAACACTGTCTCCAAGTACAAGCTCCTAGACCTGTTGTAAAGCTTGGGCATGCCCCACCTGCGTTGGACACATCCTCTTCATTTGCCCTTTTATTCACCCTCCACACAGTGTCTTATCTTCCCATGTTGAGCTATGTCCAACCCAACTGCAAGCACAAGGCTGTTTGCTGTGTGTTGCACAGACTGTTTCCTCTCAGTTTGCATAGCCCTAGTTTCTTAACCACTCCCATCTCTGCCTTTTTGCACTCCACCTTTTTATTCAGTGTCTGACTTTTCTGCCTTTCACGGGTCCTTGCTTCCCATCCACCAAGTCAACAGCAATTCCCAACCCCAACAGGGCCCTCAAACAAACTATCTCAGACAAATTTCAACTCCCAATCACTTCTGAGCAGCTTTTTGCCGCAGCCTCCCTCTTTCAACCCACGTGTTGGGAAACCCGGTTAATTCTCTTCCTGCTGTCTCTTTACAGCAAGCAGTGGTAACTCTACAGGCTACACAGGCGGAAGGGATGTTTGCTCTTGCACACAAGTAAAAGGAGGAGAGGCATGCTCCAGCTGCCCTGGGCTCCATTGGTTACCCCAACCACAGGCCTCTTTTCATGTTTCGTTTAGTAAGGACCATTTGCTGTATATTTCTGCGGGGATGCACTGGCCTCTGCCCTGGTAGCAGCGTCCAGATCCACACTGTGCTTCTGTAAGGTAAACGATATGTTCCAGCTCAGGAAACCTTTAAACTGATGGAAGTCAGAAGGGTGCACTGGGAAGGGAAAGGACTGCACCAGCTAATTGGTCTGTAACCTCCCTGAGCAGGACAGGCAGCCGCTGTAAAACCACCATCGTGTTCTTGGTTGTAGGAAGCAACTGTCAGGGCTCAAACAAACAAACAAACAAACAAACAAAAAACCCCCATTCAACTGCAGAACATGAAATACATTTGGTTTATTTCTTTCTAAAGTTTGTACATATACATATATCATTATACATATGTGAGATCCTTCAATAGGGTTGCTTGATTTCAATGACATAAAAATTATTGGGAAGCTTGCAGGCTCTTTGTTGCCCGTAAGCAACATTTATTCCAACTTATAAAAACACAGAGGAACAGAGTTATAGTCAGGAACATGGACACGAGAGAAGTCTACTTTATATCTCACAGTTTCAATACATCAAAGGCAAATTATTTGTTTGTATACTGTAGGCTTACTTTATCAGCAATGATAAAATAGAGGAAAATATTTATATACAGTCACCTCAAGTGAAAAATAAAGCAATGTAAACTTAAATTCCAAAATATTATTTTAAATGATATAACAATATCCCCAAAAGCCCTTCTTCCAAGGGGAAGAGGACTGATTAAGTGCCTTCATTTACCAGGAAATGATCATTCTAGTACCAGATATATGAAGCAGAATAAGGGAGGGCATCCTGTGATACCTGTAGAAAAGAGTGACAACTCTGCTTCAGGAAAGCATCTCTGTGTAAGCAAGTATACGTTTGAGTCCTTATGGACATCAGCAGCACATGGAAACATCTCCCATGAACCAGGGCTTGACTTAAGTCTGCACAGCTCTGACTCTGACATCCAAGTATGCTTTTCTGGCCATGCATGTTCCCAGGGACAAAAAAGGGTGTCCTGGTGGTAGGACAACATCAAACCTGAGATGATGACCTCCCCAAGAGTCAGAGCAGCAAGTTCCAGGCTGCTGGAAAAGATTTAGTGGTTACCTCAATGCTGCTTCACAGCAGACCAAGAGGTTACCACAAAGCAGTGAGACTGGGACTGCGTCTCTAGTGTGTTGAATGAAAAACACTCCAGCAATTCAGTGACAAGAGTAAACTGAGTTCAAGGTTATCAGAAAGAAGGTTCCAACACTTTGCAAAAGGGATAGGAGGGTTCCAACACTTTGCAAAAGGGATAGGAGCCCACCCAGAGGAAAGGTCTTGCAAGGACTGCTGGCAGGCCCTGTAAGTTTGGTTCTGCACAAAAGAGATGTATAGGGTGTATGTACAGGCATGTGCAAAACCTTTTTCTGTACTACCACTGCCAAGAGTTATGCTTCCCATATGGCTACCATGCAACACTGACTGAAAATTCAATCCTCTTTCTTAGCCTAAGAGAAAGCAACACTGCAACAGCCCAGGTGGAAGTAAATAATGCTTCTTAACTGCAATTCTGAGAGCAACAGTGCTCACCCACATCTTCCCACTACGTCACCATGGGAGGCAGGAAACCCAAGGAAGAAGCTCATTGCCCGAAAAAGAATTACAGGACTACAGCTTGCCCAAAGCAAGGTGATGGGGATGTCCCCTTTCATACCATTCTGAGCTGCAGTTCACTCGTGTCTCAGTTCTGCAAGACACAATTGCTCTGGCCGTGGTCCAGTGAACTGCAAAGGCATAGTTTCACTGAAGTTGCTCAAGTGCTTCAAACTAACTGCGTGTGAAAGAGTTTTATGACTCCAGGTAAGAATCACACCCTCAAGCTTTGCTCTATATTATGCAGATCATGCTAGTGTTGCCCTGACTAGAGCACAATAGGAAAACCCACTGGGTTTCCTTACGTCTCTTTACTCAGACCAGCAACTTGTTAAAAGGTTGTTCAAAGATCCCAAGGGAAACCTCTGGGAGGTATAAGAGATGCCCAAGATATTTCAGCCCTGCTGCTCTTCTTTTCCCTGCTGATGACCACTCTTCTGGAAATCTGTACAGTTGCAGAAAAAAAAAACCCCTCACTACTGCTGTACGGCTGTATCTGCAGGAGACATCACAGGCACCTGTCCTTCTTGGACAATTTTGGACATGATGTCCCCTTGCTGAATGTTCACAGAGCAAGGTCAACATTTTCAGAAGTAAAGCTGTGTATTAGATCCCCAGAGCATGATTTTCAGAAGTCAGCATGGATGCTCCCGGTGCAGGCATTGGCTGATACAAACAGGGAGAAAGTTAGCCTAGTTTTAAGCTAGCAGAAAATCCCACCCACTAACCCATGCTTAAGACTCTGAAATATATGCCTTTGCTTTCAACATGCAGAACAACAGGCAGCCCCTGGTGGATAACACATGGAGATCAAGGCAGCTCAAGGGATACCCTAAACCTGCGAAAGCTCTGATGACTGCTTAACCTCATTTGTGAACAACTAGAACAACAAGCATCCTAATAATGTTTGCAGCTGCTGAAGTGCTTTGACCAAAATAAGCCTCAGAAAAGAACAGCAGGCTTTGGAGTGCTGTGCCACAGAAGCCATACTATACCTATGAAATATATACACACATCTATAGGCATCACTTAAACATGTTCACCAAGGAATGTAAGCCTCAGAGTGTACCTCACGCAGAGACTAGAGATTTCAAAGTTTTCAAACTCCCAAAAAACTCTGTTCTTTTAGCCAAATTATAACCCTAGCCTTGAGTAAGAGGACATAGTTGTCTTGAATATGTACAAATTTTAAAAAAAACCAATGGCAACCCCACCCCTGTTCTCATCCAACAGGCTTTCGGAATTTGATAGCACTGAGCATGAGGTTTTCAGAAGAGTGTGAGTTAAGACTTATATTACCAGTAAAGTTTGCCCTATGCGGTGACACAGACTCAATATCACTGATCTACCTTCTCCCAGCAAGAGTCTCAGGGAGTTGGAGGATTTCGTGTCAAACAATCCTCCATGGCAGCTTGGCTGGCTGCTCTGTGGTTACACCATGCTATCCGCTAGACACGACCTCAAACCTTGCCTGCTTAAACAAAAAGTATCTTGCTGTGCTGTTCTCCTTTAGGTGAGTTACAGACAGGACCACTGCTACAGAGTGGCTACTAATTACAATAGTTTACCTCAGAGAAAAGTCCTTCCCTCATAGTTTGTAGCACTTTCAATCCATGCATTGCTAAGTGATGTATGTTTATTGGTCCAAATAAACCTCTGGCCTGCATCGCAGCTGGTTCCTGGCCCAGATTTAACAGCAGATGCCATGGGAGGTCCCTCACTCTTTAAACATTCATAATTTTTATGGAATAATTAAGTGTTCAAAGGGGGGGGGAACAGAGAACACTTTGGGCTGGCCCAAATTTGCTCCTTCTGATCACAGGAGCAAAGTCAGGAGGTGTGGCCTCTGGGAAAGCTGCTGCTTGCATTTGGTAAGGGAAGGGCTCTAATAACTAACTAAAATATAACCTCTGTGCAGCTAACAAAAGGTATGAGCAAGGGACATTGTCTCAGGCAGGGCTGAGCCTACCTCCTTACACTGCTCAACTGGATGTTGCCATCAGCAGAGCAGACAGTCCCAGATGGCATCAGGACACGTTTTCCAAGGACCTGTCCTCCTTGCTCTCATGTAAACCAGTCTTCTCACAAAGGGACTCTGGCACCCCTGGATAAGGGTGCTGCTGTCACAAGGGAGAAAAGCAGCAGGTGGTAGGGACAGTTCCTCAAGCAGCACAATCTAGAGGGAAAAGGGAGCCAGTGTTTCCAATCACCCCCAGCACTGAGGGCAATGCTCGAGCACACAGTCTCCAGCAGGTGACCAGCCATGGAGGGTGGCACTGGCTCACTTCCCTCCTACAGAATCACTGTCCTGTGCACTGCTGCTCAGCTCAGGTGGTACCATTTCTCTGACAGCTTCCTGGAGCTCAGGTCCCCACCGTGAAGCTCCAGATGAAGCAGTTCCCTATGTTACCCTGCTGGGAGAGAGGAGAGGCCAGGCATACTGATTCTATATGCGCTAAAAATATCCTCTAAAAAGCACAAGCTACTGACTAGCTCTTTTTGAAAAAGCTTCTACAGTTCATCCCTCTAGGCAGCCTAGATATCAGATGCTGGGAACACATGCTGGGGAGCAGTGGTTGTGCTCTTGTGAGAAATATGCACTTATTAACTGCCCTCTCAGAGCAGATGTGATGTCCCAGAGCCTGGGGAGAGCAATACTGGGGAAACTTTAAACAAGCATCAAGCCAAAAGACTACTTGACATAAGGTGTATATACTGCCTTTGCCTCTGCAAAGCAGACAGTGTTTCCAACAACCTGGATACTAGAAGACTCGGAATGTTGCAAGTGTTTGGTCTGAGTGTGGGAGGGGGTACTTCGCATCCCTGCAGCATAACACTAGAGGATCACAGCAGTCTAAAACTCGGTCTCACACCTCCCGGCTATAACTGTGGCTGGAAACACGGGCTACCGACAAGCAGAGTGAAAAGCTGTTCACGGGGTTATCCACTCAACGCAGCACTGCTTCAGAGCAGGTTTTCTCAATGCAAGATGGGACAGCCAAATTTTCTGGATTTCTGCAAGCATGGAAGGAAACAGACCTGTTATACAGAAGCAGCTGAGGTGCTAAGATGACAGACAGGAGCAGCTTGACAGAAAAGTAGGAGGAGCTGTCAGACTAACTGCAATAAGACCAAAATTCATTTAGGAATGGCGAATGCAGACACAGTAAGCAGTATGCCATCTGCAGAGAAAAGCCTTCACCACTTTCGAGGAGGACGTTGCCACACAATGCCTTCAAGAAGCCTGGTGATAACTGTGCCACCTTTAGCCTTCTCCACTGCCACAACCACCTCCTCACTGAATGGCCTGCTCTAATCAACCTCATTTCCCCACTGGAGAAAGGCAAAAATTTTGGCTGTTTCAAGTCAGAAGAGCAACCAGCCTTGTTACTCCAATGCACTGGAGCTGTGCAAAGTCACTGAACAGTTTCAGTCTCTGGAGGGCTGCTAGGCCAAACTCTGGCTCAAACCATGGTTGTGTCGAGCACTGCGCTCCAGGAGAGCCCCTTAACATGGACAGACTGGGAGCACGTGGGATCAGAGGGAAAGCATTAAAGCGACAAGTAGTTTACTAACCCTTAGAAAGCTTCTGGTAACCATTTACAAGTGACTGGCTACAGATGAAAAACTGCCTGAGCCGGCGTCGCAGCGGAACCGTGTTCCCCCATAGCTCCGCTGCATTAATCACTCTGCTGGCTGACTTATCCCTCTACATCAAATAAAGACACAACATAAATACTGGATTTAGAAGCTGTAGTCATGTTCACTGGTCCATGCGTGATTTATCTGCAAGATGCACACAAACACACAGCCAGTCCAGAGAGTCTCTTTCGCAGCCACTGACGATTGAAAACCACCTCAACCAGACCCCTGCGTCCTGATGACTCATGGAGGAGAGCGCGGTTTTGGCTTCAGGAGAGTACCTCACCTTCTTTGGTTGCTGAGTGGGGAGAGGGGAAGGCAATTTTCTGCTTCTCCCTCATCTCTCTGCTGCCAGGTGCAGATCTGTGAGGCCCCCTCCTGCCTCTCCTTCCTTAGCTGGGGATACAAGCTCATTCAGCCCCTCGAGGGTGAGCAACAGCAGTGCTTCAGAGTAGGGTGGGTCCCTCCAGAACCACTGTCTGCACCACAAGAAGGGGGAAGTGAGGAGCTGTTGGCCCCATCCTGCTCCCCTCTTTGCATCCCTCCTCTCAGCCTGCAGGCAGAGGCTTTGCCTGAGCAATGGCTGCATGCTGCAGCAGGGAGGCTGACAAGGAAGGATGACGCCTCCCTGCATCACTGCAAAGGCTTGCTTGCATGCACACATGCCAGTAACTCCTGCTTACACTGAGCACCACCAGGAAGCTGCAGGCTGCTCACTGAAATGCAGCTCTGGTGCATGCTGAGTCCCAGAGGAGGGCTGGAAACCAGCAGAGTATCCTTACCTGCTGTAACCAAAGCTCCTGACTCGCTGAGGTCAAGCACTGATTTCTTCTAAAGGCAAACACTTCAGCAAAGGAGGGTAGGGTGCAGGGAGAGTCTCTGCCAGACTCTCAATGCTGCCACCCAAGGAGATGCACCGCTGAAACCTCCTGAGAACCTCCACTTTATAATATCATCACGTATTACAGTACTGCTTGGTAGATGATCCTATTCCCAAGGGAGGACAGGAGCCTTTCACAACAGGATCGCATTTTTCGCTTGGCCTCCAAAATGCGCATTTTTACATGGGTGCCTGGGATGCTTAAAAATTGTAAACTAACAGAGCAAAATGGCATTAATTAAAACTTGAGCAGAACCTAAAAATTCTGGGTAAGCTAATGGGCATGCCTCAGCAGTCTCACCAAGAGTGCTCCAAGCTCAACAAAGGTTAAATGACTAAAAAATGCAGTGAAAAACTGCATTTGATAAGCCCAGATGAGACTTAAAAATATACCCTAATCCATTAACAAGTATACATGGAAATAGAGAATAAATAATTAAAAAAAAATTATTTTTGCAGTTCACTTTTTGATTTTTTCTGTTGCTTCAAATCGTCTTTTCTGCAATGACTTTGAAGAGGAATTATCCAGTTTCCGTGTCAAAGCTGGAAAATGCATTAAACAGGAGTAATTTCTTTTTGAGCTTGGCAATTTAACTGGAGTCTACAGCAACTAGAATATGTTAAAAGCCAGAGGAAAAAGAAGCCGAAAGTCACTTCTTTGCCATTTAAACCACTGCACTCCATAATAACAAGAGGTCTGCTAAGCATGTTCTAGCCTGCCTTCAAAAAGATCCTCTAGTGAACCCCACCCTGACAGTTTAGCAGGGCCCATTTACAAATCTGCACTTTTTTTGGTTTTGTTTCTCCTGCATGTGTCCTAACGTTGTGATGCAAGAGAGTGTCCTGGCTTTGGCCAGGACAGAGCTAATTTCTGCAGTAGCCAGGAGAGGGCATGGCTAGGATCAGGAGGTTATCCTATACTACCTACATCATTTTTCAGGGACGGGGGGAAGGTCACATAGTGGGAAGCGAGTGGTCAGGTATTGTCAGGCTCTGCTGGTGAACATTCACATGTGAATTGTTTGCCTCTCTTGTCTACTTTGTTATTAATATTGTTGCCTTTACTGTTAATTTTCCTATTCATTGCCGTTTCCAGTAAATTGGTCTTATATCAACCTGTGATCTTTACCTTTTTATGCCTCCAGTTCTCCTCTCCAGCCTGCTGCAAGGGGAAGGGAAGAGGGAAGTGAGCGAGTGACATGTGGTTTGTAGAGTCTCAGTGGAAACACTAAACTGGGGAATACGACTCCTAAACCACAACAGACAGGTCAAGTTTTCTTCTCCAATATGCAGTTGGCATTCCCCAAATGAATTTCTTCTTCTGTCTGTTCCATTCATTTGTTTTAAACCTCCAGAGCATGATGAGCAGCTGCAGGCATCTAGCTTTTCTTTCCCTTCCATGAGCTGTTGATCTACCACTCTTAATCAATGCAAACAATCCCTCCCAATAAGCCCTATTGTGTGTCTGTCTACACTGAGTCTCCCTACCCAACAAGCTGCACCACATCACTTTGGCTCCAGCAGCAGTAGGCATCTCTCTTCCTCAGGAGGACTGAATGTTAACTCCACCTTAGTAAGAATGCATAACTTCTGCAGCTTTTTAGCAACGCTGCCAAGGTTAGGGCCAACCTCACGACTTTCATCATGGAGTGGCCACTCCCAGTGGCAGATGCCAGGTGCACGTGTATCCCAACACCACTTATGAAAACGGTACCATACGGTTTTGCCGCCAGGCTGCAGCTGCAAGGATCAAGTTGCTCCCAAATCTCCCAGCACCTGAAAGCGCAAAATCTTTGTTACAGCCAAGAGTCAGCACAACACTGGGAAAGCTGTTGCATGGTGGTACTCAGTGGGGGAGGCAAGTCATGCGGTGTTGTATCAGGGGTTAATTACGCTGATACTTTTGGTCTGTGTTTGGCCCTGTAAAAGTTTTGTTCTTTCCCTGCCAAGTTATGAGAAAACAAGCACAGATAAAACAGGAGCTTCGCCCTTGGAGAGAGTTCTTGTATAAACTATATTTAATTGATGTTTTAAGATCGGCTGATCGTCCTCCAAGGTCGCTTGAAGGAGAGACTGAAGACTATGGGTATGAAGTAAACCCCTGGACTCATCTGGAAAAGACTCCCTCGGGTGCAGCATGCAGGCGCAGGGAAAGCCATGCATGTGCAGAAGAGATATTACCTGCATAACGGAGGGTGGGACTGAGGGCCACTGGCTGGGCAGTGCTGACCACACCTGCCTAGGCTGAGGCCACTCAATTAATTGTATAAAAGCAGATAGCTCTTTCTTGGAAGGCAGGAAGCTTCACATCAAGGACAACGCTGCCTTTTGGCAGGGACGCCTGTCAATTTGTGAACTTGCTGACTCTCCAGGGATGCAGCTTCTGCTATGGGTGATTGTGGGCACTCTAGGTCTGTAAGATAACTAACTCTATGGGCAACAGCTGGGTGACTAGGGAAGTAGTACTGAGAGCTTGTTTCTCTCCTCCTTCCTCTCTTTTGGGTTTGTTAGTTTTGTTGGCCACTTCTTGGTAATAAGTATCAGTTTTGTTGAGCTTTCAAAGGTGTCATGGTTTCAGATTTCAGCATGCTACGAACCCTCCCTAATACAGGTGTCTGTTAAGGGCCTTTTCTCTTTGATCGCTCCCAGTTCTGCCCACTGAACTGGCAGTTCAATAAGCTGGATTAATTGACTTGGACCCTTGGGAAGTCTGGCAGAACACAAATCTGCTCAGGTGGCAATTTTTTTTGATGTGTGGCCCTTTGACTACTTGGGCTGGAAACACCAGCGCATTTCTAAACAGTCCTTGCATTGATCTTGACATTTCTATATGCATTAAGACTTGCATCCATCAGGAAGGTTGTCCTGTGCCAGGCACAACAAAAATAACAGCAAGAAACAATTTTCTAATGGTCCTCAACATTACGTACCAAGGTAGTCTGCAGGAAAGGCCAGTTTGGTTGTATCACTCCACATAGGAAAAGGGTGAGTCAAAACGGGAGAGACCTGTCCAAGCTCACCCTGTCGGCCAGTATCAAACCTGAGATTAAAACCCAGGATGTTAAGTAACAGGAGAGCCAGTGCTCTCTGCAGAGCCATGATGCTGCCCAGGCAAGAGGGGCTGGGAAGCAGGAAAATAATTTCTACATCATCTTTCTGCTCTCTATGCCTGAAAACTGCTGGCCACCCCAAGGGTCTGTGGGCTTTCAGGTATGGAAAGCTCTACCCATGGTGGTGTCTCCCTGTCTTGTGCTCTCCTCTGAAAGCCTGGAGCAGGGTATGCAGGAGCTGCGAGCTGGGCTTGTTCTCTGTGGGTGGAGGGTACGATCTGACAAAGCTGAGGCTGCCTTGTGCTGTCCTCTAGTCACAGAGTAGTCAGGACAGTATCAAACCCTAGTCTGCAGCAAGGACATGTCTGTCCCCTCCTCTGGTCTGCACCAGCCTCTTCCACCCATATGTGAGCTAAAGCAGGAAAACGGAGAACTGAGGAGAATCCCTTCCTGAAGAGAAAAGACAAAGTGCTTTGTCACTATCAGAGGAACTGAAAGAAGCTCTCTGCGCACACCAACAAGGAAACTCCTGGAAGGGGAAGCAACAGGACACAATATATCATAAGGCTCTATATAGCAGCTAAGTGAGAGCGTATAGTTAAAAACTACACAGAGGCCCTTTGTTTTTAATATATAATGCTAATGGCTGACATCTACAGAAGCCTCCTCTGCAAATAAATGTAAAACCCAGAGAGTCATTCCAGCTGGGTAAACCCTAATCTCCGTGACAGCAGAGACAGTACGGGTTTGGATACTTTCCAGCCTATCCAGCTTTCCAGCCTGCAAACTCAGGAGAAGACTTCGCTTGGAAGGAAGCAAACAAATTATTCCAATGCCGTCATCCCAGCATTGCCAGAGGTTTCCAGGTTTCATTCCTTCACACTTGTGGGTCCAGCGTCAATGCAGTAACAATAAGCAACAGTGACTATATACCGTAGCACCTGCTGCTAAGTACCAGTACCATGCCCCACATTGACAGGAAACTAGTGTTCCCAGCACCCCAGGCTCTAGCCAGGCTTCTCTGCAGCTGCACAGCTTTTCTCGCAGCCACAGCTTACATTCACAGCACTGCAGCACTTGTCCAGTTATTTTTCCCACCCACCACGTAAATAAAGTGACAAGTGACTTGAGAGATGAAAGCCACATGCCGATGGGAGGAGATAAATGGGGAAGAGACAGAATATACGTCACAGCGCTCTACCCCTCCCCCAGCTCCTTTAGAAACAGAACAACATAAAAAAGTCCCGATGCTTCAATTGCTAAATGATAAATTAACAAAGCAAAGCAAAGCAGGAGCAAAGACATCTCCCACAATCTGCACAGAAACAGCAAAATATACAATAGAAAATGTCACTAACACCCCATTCAGGCAGATGCACTTATTTTTTGTGAAGGACAGGTTATTAAATGAAAAAAATTTTGACCACCGGTACTTTGCTGCATGGCTGTTCCCCTCGCTGTCATTTCCGCCCTAAGTGACCTTCTGCTTGATGCTGGGTGTTTCTGGCCTGTAGTCCTTCCTCTCCGAGACGTTGCGTTTCACCTTGGCACTGACTGGAGACTCCTGATTCAAAGAAGGACTTGAGTGGGATTTCTTCAGTCCTGGCGCATCGTTCTCTCCTCCACTCAGCAGCTCCTTCACTCCTTCTTTCAGGAGGCTGACATAAATCTCATAGCGATTTTTCTGGGAAACGAAAAGAAAGGCCCAAATCAGTCTGGGAGAAATTCTGCAAGAGCACTTGAGAGACGGTCTGGGTAACTTAATGGCTTCTGCCGGCCTTGGAAGCCAGCAGCCTAATACGGACGCGAACAATGGTGCCTGATGTGGACATGAAAAATAGTGGCTAATGTAAATTAAACTGTACAAGAAGGATTTCAGGCAGACTGAGAGCCCCAGGGTGCTGTGCAATTAGAGGCACTCAGTTCTGCAGCACACGAATTCCGACGTTCTGCCGAGCGGCGGCTCGCGGCGAGCTGGAGCGCACAGTGATTTCCACGTAACACCACCAAGGGAAAGCTTGCTGACCTCAGTCACACTGAGGCATATCCTGTGCTCAGGCATACTGAGATGCCATGTGTCCCATCCAGGCATGGAAATAAAGTGCAGTAAACTAAGGGATAGCAGAAGTCCTGCTCTGGTTGTCTACAGCTCCACCCTGCAACTCTTCACTCCCACCAGCAGGTCCCGCGTTTCCTGCTTTTTGTGTGACTGCTTTTCCTGCTTTTCTTACCCACGAGGGAGAAACCAAAGCAGGGTCCCACTAAGTTCAGACAGTATCAGCTTGGCCACCACTAGGCCCTTGAGAGGATCTTCTGCAGGGTCAGACCTTGACAAAAAGGAGCAGATGAGAGGGCTATGACAGCAGCATGGCACGTTCCCCTGCCAGGGTCACTCACAGGGAATGATGAAGGTTGCTCACTGCCCAGACCCTTGTATTTTTCAAATGGAAAAAGTTCCCTTTACTGTGTGCCATCCCCACTTGTTCTATTCCCTATCTGGACCAGACCTTTCCCTCTCCAATGAAAGATTTTGCTCTGCTTGCCACAATTACATCCTTCTGCAAGAAACAACTCAGAAAGGAACAGAATGAGGGTACTGTAATAGAATATCCCTGCAGGGTCTCAAAAACAGATGCTGGGGCAAGAGGTCCTGAGAACAGAGCAATCCACCTCACAGGATTTGTTTAATAACCTGCCCCTGACATATCCCCCAAAGACATGGTGCAGGCATTGTAATTAAGGCAATCTCTGTGTGCTGGGGGTCAGGGAAGGAGGATGTAAACATCCATCCTGATTTGTATTTTAAAGTGGCAAAACAGCGGCCAAACTATTATGTTCCTGGCAGAGGAAAAGGTATTTAAGAAAAAATTTTTCCAATTTCCAGTAAAAAATAAAGTTCTGGTAAAAACACTTATTTGAGGGCAGGAAGTCAAAAAGCTCAGTAACTGCTTTGAAGTGTGGAATATAAAGGGGGAGGAGGGAGAAAGAAAAGAAGGTGACTGGGTTTTGAGAGTCCTTTGAATAAACAAATACTCGCAGAGGAGGATCATAACAAAATCGACCTAAAAATTCAATAAAAAGGCATTCCTATCAATTCCGTATCTGGAGCTCCAGCTCCATAATGCGAGAGACAAACACATGAAGCAGGTAAGATGTGTCATTTAATAAAAATGGAAATGGAGAAACAGCAAGCAGAACCCTGATGATGATGCACAGGGCTGATGGATGATTCATCACACAGCAAACCAGACACCTCTGCAAAAGGCAAACCAGTGCTCTGAGCCTGGAAATAGCGTAATAGTCATCAAATGAGAGAGGGACTTTACTGCCATATGGACATCTGCTTTTTATAAGTCCAGTAAACACTAGTAGGATCACAAGACTCGGTAATCAGAATGAAAATCCAGGATCTATATGTGTGCAAATGGCCATTTTCCCCTGGACTTTGTGGGTCCCTGATTTCTACTGCAATTAATCGATGCATTTCTATTTTTATTTCAACTGCGAAAAACTGGTCTTTTAGTGACCTGACATTTGCAGTTAAGTAAAAGCTGGTGGAAATTTTGCCTTAAAAGAAATTAATCTGGAAAATTCTGTCAAGTAAATAAAACCACAGAAGTTGAAACCATTCAGAAGTTTCTGCAACATTATCTCTGAAGACTGAAAGAACATAATAAAGAGGAGACAAAGTAGCCACCCATCAGTATTCTGGCTTCACCTCTCCCCTGACAGCACTCAAAAGATCTTTCTCAAACTATAAATTTTCTGCAACAAGCAACAAGTTTTCTGCAATCTGGCACAGTACTTCCTCAGAGAGAAGCAAAGAGAACTGTTCCTTCCTTGGTGTCTATAAGCAAAGAGACCATCAAAAAGATGTGCTACCTACTGCATCCCTGAGCAAGGACCAGTCACCCTTTGTTCCACCTCCCCTCAGAAGGAAACATGATCTCACTTGTTTTTCACCAGGAACAAGAATGAAGGGATTGCTAGGGTGTGAACAAAAAGGAACTATAATGACCTACAGAAAAGGAAAATGGCTCCTTCCTCCCTAATGGGACTATGCTGCTTCCTTAGGGACTCACAGGCCATTTTGGGGTGCTTCTGGAGATGTATCAACATCTATGTACATAGATAAAAATTCTGGCCTGCAATCTCAACCTGGAAGAAACAGTTACAAAATAATGCCTCACCTGCCTCTTTCATTTTTGGTTTAACCATACAGCAAGCTCTGTCACCACCTCCTGCCTGACCCCGACAGGACATTGTTCTAAAGGGAAGATCAGGAAACCCAAAAACCAGCAAAAAGTTTCCATTTGTGGTTTTCATATAACTCACCATTTTGTTTTAGTTTAGTTTGGGTTTTCACTCAAAGAATCACAGAATATTCTGAGATGGAAGGGACCCACAAGGATCATCGAAGTCCAACTCCCGGCCCTGCACAGGACAGCCCTAAGAATCACACCATGTGCTTGACAGCACTGTCCAAACACTTGTTGAACTCTGTCAGGCTTGGTGCTGTATCCCCTTCAGGTCTGGGGAGCCTGTTCCAGTGCCCAGCCACCCCCTGGGTGAAAAATGTTTCTCTAGTATGTAACCTAAACCTCCCCTGACACAGCTTCATTCCATTCCCTCAGGTCCTGTGACTGGTCACCAAAGAGACTGTTGTCAGCCCCTCTCTGCTTCCTCTTGCAAGGAAGTTGTAATTGCAAGGAGGTCTTTCCTCAGTCTCCTCCAGGCTGAACAGAACAAGTGACCTCAGTCAGTCCTCGTATGGCTTCCCCTTTAGACCCCTCACTATCTTCATAGCTCTCCTTTGGATGCTTTCTACTATCTCTATATCTTTCTTACATTGTGGTGCCCCAAACTGCACACAATATTCAAGGTGAGGTTGCCCCAGGGCAGAGCAGAGCAGGACAACCCCCTCCCTTGACCGGCTGGTGATGCTTTGCCTGATGTTCCCCCAGGACAGGGTTGGCCCTCCTGGCTGCCAGGGCACTGCTGACTCAGATTCAACTTGCCATCGACCAGGACCCCCAGGACCCTTCCCAGCATCTCATTCCCCAGTCTGTATGTACATCCAGGGTTGCCCCGTCTCAGGTCCAAGATCCGGCACTTCCCTTGTTGAACTTCACATGGTTGGTGATTGCCCAGTCCTCTAATTTGCTGAAGTTTCCTTGCAGGGCATCTCTGTCTTCAATGGAGTCAATGGCTCCTCCTAGTCTAGTATCATCAACAAACTTACTTAGTATTCCTTTGAGTTTTGCATCCAAGTAGTCTATTAAGACATTGAAGAGCATCTCAGATGGAGCCCTGTGGAACCCCACAGGTCATCAGTCTGATGTCACCCCATTCACTATTACCCTCTGTATCTGACCCTCGAGCCTATTGCTCACCCACCACATGGTGTGATTATCCAGCTGTGTGCTGGACATTTGGTCCAGAAGGATCCTGTGAGAGACAGTATCAAAAGTTTTATTGGAACCCAAAAAGATTACATCGACTGGCTTCCCTTGGTCAGCTGGGTGGGTTATCTTGTCATAAGAAGAAAACAGGTTTGATAAGCAGGACTTTCCTCTCACAAAGCCGTGCTGGTTGCGACTCATGACTGTATAGTCTTTCAGGTGTTTTACACTAATTCCCACAATAATCTTCTCCATAACTTTACCAGGCACTGAAGTGAGACTGATAGGCCTGTAGTTTCCAGGATCTTCCTTCTTGCCCTTCTTGAACACTGTGACAATGTTAGCCAGCTTCCAGTACATTGGGACCTCTCCATATTCCCAAGGCTGCTCAAAAATTATTGAGAGAGGCCTCTTGATGACGTCAGCCATCTCTTTGAGGATTCTGTGATCAGGCCCCATAGATTTGTAGGGATCCAGCTGGAGCAGCAGATCCCACACAACTTCAGGGTAAACTGGGAGTTGATCATTCTCACACTCATGGTCCTCCAGCTCAGGGCACTGAGATCCCCTTGGTCCCTCATCCATGTTGAAGACAGAGGCAAAGAATGTGTTAAAAATCTCTGCCTTGTCTCCGTCTCTGCTTGTGAGGTGACCATCCTCATCCTGTAACGGTGCGATGCTATTTCAGCACTGCCCTTTGCCATTAATGTACTAAAAACACCTGTTTTTCTTGTCCCCCACATTTCTGGCCAGCTTCAACTCCATCTGAGCTTTGGCCACATGAATTTTCTCCTGCAGTGGTGAGCAGTGTCTCCATATTCCTCCCACGTCACTTGACTGTGCTTCCAATAGGCAAACACCTACTTTTTTTTTGCCTTAGCTCTAAAAGCTAAGGGATCTAAAAGTAGATCCCTGCTAAGCCAAGCTGGCCTTCTACCTCGTCTGCTTGACTTCTGACATTTTGGAATGGTCTCTCGATAGTTCAACACGGCCTGTGAAATCTGTGCCAAGTGTGAAGATAACAAAGCATTGCACAGAAGCACCTTGAATTACCATTTCTCACACATAACTGAAGTTGTTGCCACCGCTTTCCTGCTCACATGGGCATTCCTGCAGTGGTGATCATTTATGTGAACTGCACAGTTCAATTGCTGTTTGAGACTCTTAATAGAGAAGATGACATCTTTTGTTTCCTGTGCTGTACTGGTTCTGATTTGTACTGAGGTACCTGAGGAATATTTCTCTAAAGATCACCATGATGAAATTGACAGAAAACAGAAAAAAATCCACAACAATCTACTCCTCCATCAATCTTTCAAAAAACATCTAAAATTCCAGCCTACATTTCATCCTGATTCTAGAAGGAATAGAAAATAAACTTTGTGTCAAGGACTCAAAGCCAAGAAGTTCCTTACTCTTCCAAGTTGCACAACACCCCCTCCAGAGACAAAGTGTGTGGCTTGCTCTGAGTGCTGTGTTCAAAACTGACACTGTGTACTGATCTCAAATATTCTGCCAGACCACTTCACTGTCAATTTCCTAACCCACTTTATCAGCTTGTCTACAAGGATGTTAGTGGAGACAGTGTCAAAGTCCTTGTTAAAGTGAAGAACAAACAACATCCACCGCTGTCCCCTCATCCATCACACCAAACATCTCATTGTAAAAGGCCATCATGTTGGTCAGGTATGATTCCCCATTCACAAAGCCATGCTGACTACTTTGCTATTGCTATTGCAAAGTGAAACTCAACACAGATCACAACCTTCTGCAAAAGCAAAAGTATACAACCAGTCAAGTGCAGGAGTGAAAAGAGTTCCTCTAATACAAACTGGTAACACAGGGCAGGAGGCTTACTTCAGTTCTGGAGGTTTGTGTTGTGTGGCCTCCAGCACCAGCTCTGGTGGTCTCTCTGACTTTTGTCTTATCTGCTCTTCCTCTCTTCAGACTATGGATTTTCCTTGCCAGGCACTGCCTATTTAGAGTAGGATCCTTTCAGACCCAAGGCAACATCGACTCGCAGTTCTGGGGGAAAAAGCTCAAAGGTGTAGTCATAACAAATACCAGACACCTGGTGGGTTGCCAACTTGCTCCCACATAGCCCTACAATGTGGCAGACACCATGATGGATAAAAGCTTCTGCCAGATACTCAGAACAATCACCTAATGCAGCTCCCTAAGTTGCATCACTCAGTCCTGTGATCTTTAATTCTACCCTTTTCCTTCTCATTCTGACATCCAGCTCACTGGTACGCAATACAAATGGCTCTGATGAGGCATGCCTGTGACAGTAATTTCAGAATGTCAGTTCCTTCAGAACATACCAATGGAAGACAATTATCCTAACCTGCATTACTGCAGAATGCAGTCATTCTGTGAAGACTGAGGTTCCAACACACTAGGAAACACACAGTCTTACAACACAAGACATATCCTGCCTGAAGACCTTATCATCTCTTCAAACAAAGACATCAGGAAAGGACAGAGGGTCTCACTTTTATCCTCCATGTTACAGATAAGGAGCTAAATTCATGGGTAAGGCCACAGGAAGTTCTTGTCAGCAAAAGACGCCACACTGCAGCTTCTGGGATTGCTGTGACTTTTCTGCCTACTCAAACATAATTCTTGGGGACGTAAAGTGAAAAATGCAGAACTTTAGGACTCTACCCCAAGTATAAGACATCCCCCATCCACACCCAAAAAGTAAAAGTAATAATGTTTCCCATACATACCTCAAACTCCAGGTAGTGGTCCTTCAGTTTGTAATCATCTACTTCCTTGCCTTTGAGCTTCTTGTCAGGAGGATAGGAGCGATGTTCAGCAAGCTCAGTGGAGATCTGTTTCAGCTTAGCTTCATGGGACTTCAGCTGTTCATCCTTCAGAAACACATTAGGCATTTAAGTGACAGAATCTAAAATATCCAATAAGCAAAGGAAAATAAGAGACATCCCAGTACAATAATACCAAGTAGTTTATTTTTCTATAGATTTATAAGGTCTGTTATCCCAGAGTTCTGCCCCCCCAGTAGCTCTCTCAAAGGCACCCAAGAAAAGTGGTCAAGTCTGTAGCCAGAAGATGCCACTGGGAAGGAGAGCAAACCTGTCATCCCTCGCCTTGCTGTGAGCAACAAAAGCAGCTTGCTGCAGAGCATTACTGACAACATGACACTTCTGCTCTAATACATTCTTTTGTAAATTAATTAAGAGTGTTGTGTATGCAGTCAAACCAAGGGCAGAATGAGAGAGGTGAAGACCCTGCCTCAGGTCTTTGCAATGTAAAAGGAGTTCCTACCAGAATAGAAAAGACATGGAGTCAGTGCCCTTCCTTCCATTTCTGCTTTACCAAAAGCTCCCTGGTGTGTGCTTTCTATTTGTTTAGAACAATACAATGGACTCAGAAGAGGAAGGGTTGTCCAGTCCCCAAAAGGTATTTCATACTGCTAAGCTGCTACCAGCTTTTATCCCATTGTGCCACTGGAGAAAGTGAGGAGTTGCTACTCCCACTTTCTGGGCAATTTCCTTTATCATAATCCCAGGCCCACTCACTTCCTCCAGTCCATCTGTCAGCTAACCTTCCCTCATCTCAGAAGGTTTCCAGCTCCTGCAGGATGGCCTTCTGTCCATTTCTAGGCTTGGATCTGAAATTATGTTTGAAGTAGGTAAGTCCAAAATATAGACAAGATCATGCAGATATTGATGACTTAGCCAGCCATAACAAAAAGTACCCAGCTCAGCTCCCGTGTAGGCACCTAACCTCAGAGGAGGGGACAGCTGCCAGTGTTGTCCCTCAGTGGTGTGGCTGTGCAGCCCACAGCTTCAAGCCTAGCTTGGACACGCCTGCACTGCACTGAGTCACACCAGGGACTGAGCCTCTCGGCTCACGGAGCTGGAGCTGCAGGAAAAGCAGAGAGGAGGAAAATTTCTACAGAAAATGATAGCTAAGCCCCAGCTAATCTTGCGTTTCAACTCTTCTGCGGGAGAACTGAAGAAAGAAACATGTGGGATAATTTGCCTCCGCCTAAACATGGTAGGGCTCAAACTACTCGCTATTGGCTGCCAAAAATTCTTGTTGCTGTTAGTAACTATCCTGGTTCTGCATGCTCTCCCATTAGTGCCCAATCACTCCTTACACTGAGCTGAATCCCTGGTCCCAGTGACATCCTGTGGCAGCGAGTTCTACAGCCTGATAACAGGAGGTCTTTGAGCAGCTATTAATACAGCACTTGTAATTTCCAGGGCACCAGCTCTGAAGCTTTTGTGTGTGCTGCACATTCTCAGGAAAAAAAACAAAAAACAACCTCCTAGCAGATCTTTTCTAGACTGGTTGTTCCTTTATATATAGATTTGTCACATCCCTCTTTGGTTGGACTAACCAAGATCCTCTGCTTCTAAAGGAAAACAAAACCTGGTACAATGATCTTGCCCAACCTGTCATGTCCAAACTCTGTTCCTCATCCATGTTAGCTCCTCACTGCCTTCCGACTTCTGCCTGATGAGGAAGAGACCCTTTGAAGAAGTACTCTCCATCACGATTCATCCCACAAAACCCTGAACAGCAACCACAGGGATTTGACAATTTGTATTTTTTTTGTCTGCCAAATGAGAAACAGCCTGCTGGCAGCTTTTCCTCTCTGACAGATGAAAGCAGACATGTTTCTGCTTACCTTTGAATTTATCTACTTTTAACACTTAACATTCTTCTGCCCTTAACTAAAACAGCTTATCTTACTCCACTTTTCATGTCTCCCTTTCTTCGAGACAGAGACCACAGGGCTGTGATCTATTTTTTCCTTTCCAGATCAAATGGAAACAATTAGACTAGGAAACAATGTGCTAACTGGAACTGCCACACAGAACAACGATGAGTAAAAAAGCCTTCTTTGCTGACTGGGGGTAAATTATGGAAGCCTCGTACAGTATTTTCAAAAGGGTATGCAAAACGTAAAAGCACAAGGATGATCAGTTAGTGTTATCCTTTACGAAACACGCTTTAAACATCAACCCAGAACACAAGATGATAAGTAGGCCACCACACTGTAAGAAGAAAGGCTACTGCAACGGAGAGAGAAAAAGCAGGGGTGACATTAAAAAAAACACCCCCTTAGAGAAATGCAGATTATGTGACAGTGGTTTCTAAGGAGAGTTGCTAAGCTATGAAGATGGTAAAAAACCCAAACTCATTTAAGAAGCAATCCAGCATGGGCAGATCACTTTAAAAAGTACAGGAGAATACTCATGAAGTATAACCTCTGTCACTCTGTCAACCTGATGAACTCAAGCAATGTCATGTTCCTGCCAGAGCAGGAGGAATTGCAGGCACGCATCACATCTCCCAAAGTACACAGAGCCATGGGTGCAAGCATCTGACACAGCCAGTGTGAAACCAGCTGAAATTTGTGGGGCTTTGTGCAAGAAGTAGAGCTGTGAAACTCCCTGACACAGGATGCTAAAAGCTTGTGTGATCACAAGGGGAGACCAAAGACATTCACGTAAGAAACAGTTACAAATACATATTATACAGGAAATCCCTAAGCTGATAAGGGTTAGAGTCTGGAAAATGTTGTGGGAAAAATACAATTGATGCTTGTCTAATCCATCAGCTTTCACCTTTTATCATTTCAATAAGCCAAAGACCAGGAGTATGTCTACTTCTTCTGAAATGAGTGGCCTTAATATACACTCATATTTAAAAAAACCCACCAGTCAGTATTTGAAATGTCTTCTACGCAGCCATAAACACAAGATGAAAATTCTCCGTCTGGTACTAGGAACACTGGTGACTGTTTCTTTTCTTCAAAAATATAAAACAATTATATTCAAGCCTGTTCCTTCTCTCCCACCACTTCAAATCTTCCATCAGGAAACGAGCCACGATGTACCACGTGAGCCTCCTTCTCCTAGGACTGCTAGTGGCAACAGCCATAAAACAATGACAAGGACCACCACCCAGTCTCCAGCCAGCAAGAGAAATCATCATCACCTGCCCTCTACACAAGAACATCTCACCTGAGATAGCTTTGTTGTGGTGGCTGGCAGGAGCGGGCGACTGAACTTCTTCTGGGAGCCAATTGCCGCTGGGAATGGCGGCGCAGAGAAGACAGCAGCCACACAGTTAATCTTGTTGATCCAGGTCTGCATTTCTTCTTGGCTCCTGGGGAAGAAACACATATTAAGCACCTGTTGACTCAGCCTCCTCTACCTCTTTCCACCCCTTGCGTGGCATTTTAATAGCGAGAATAACCAGAACTGGGCAAATCTTAAGGGTCTGCTTAGTCTTCTGGTCTATGTTTGGAAGCGGTTCAGTGACAGGTAACTCAGTCACGGGCTGGCTTGTGGTTAGGCCCATACCTCACCCTAGCACACATCTTTTCCTAATCCAATCCAAATGACACAGGTGACAGAGCCACACAATGCCCTGATTCAGACATATATCCTAAGGTCTCAGTTGTGCAGGACATCACAGAGCTCCAGGATCTGTACACGGTCTTGGTAGAAAGGGGCTCATGTCAGAAGCAAAAGGCAGGTCATCTGTTCTGCCTGGGTATCAAAAGCATGAAGAACTTAATCAAATCATTCTTGTATTAACTTTGTTTCTGACCACAGCGTATCTTCTAGAAAGACATCCGGCTAGGACCTGATGACATCAGGAGACAGACAATCCAAGACTGCCTTTGGTCATTTGCTTCAATGATTAATCACCCTGACTGTTATAAGTTTGTGCCTTGTTTCCAAATTGAATTTCCTGCAGCTTCAGCTTCTAGCTGCTGCATCTTGTTATGACTTTCTCAGCTGGATTAAAAAGCCTTTTAAAACCTGATGTTTCTTTCTCATGCACTACATGTGCACTCTAATCACATCACTACTTAATCTTATTTCTGATCAAATAAACAGATTGAACCTCTTAAGCCTCTGCTTTAACCTGTCCAGGGAGGAATTTACCCCTCCTTCAGCATTGCTTTCTCTCCTCAATGGCTGGAATGAAGAGAGCACTTACTGGGCTTGGAAAAGTAGGACCCTCCAATCTGCTGTTTTAAGCTTGAGGACATTGGGCTTCTTCTCATAGTCTGTTGCCTTGGATGCCAGTGCATGGTGCACACTAACCGCGTTCTTCAGATCCTCCTCCGACAAAGCCTTTTCTGGCTTATATTCATCCTGCAGGAGTTAACAGGGGGAAAATGGCATCTTATTTCTGCATGTGCTACTCCTTTTTCCTCAACCCAGGGAAAAACCCTGTTCCACAGTTCACAAATAGCAATAAAAGTATATGAACCGAATGCAACCTGACTTGAGCACTTGTGGTTTCTACCACCTTTAACATATTTTCCTTTTTTGTTTTTTTTGTGGTTTTTTTTAATCTCTTTCCGAGGAAGAGAAGTAGTTTTGCTACCTGCTTGATAGAAAGAGAGGTAAACAGGAAGTATTTGACTATCACAACAGCTGTGGACTATCTGTCTTCATTTCAGGAATCCTCCATAACCAGCTCCCACCTCCACTGCTCAGCTACTTGGGTTCTCAGCCTCCACTGCTTGATTTTAATTTTTCTCAAACAATACTTTGTATATATACAATAACTTTGTATGTTCTCCTAGGAAGCCCTCACACACTGAAGAAGCCTCCTTATCAGTCTGCACAAAGCAAGTATAGCAAACTCCCTTAAATCTCTCTACTCAGAGTCCACAAATAGCAAGCACAGCTCTGTCCAGGGTTTTTGACACAGTAACAGTACCCCTCCTAGCACCAAAAGACAAAAACGGGAGCCAAACTTCTCTTGTGTTGCAAGCATCAGCCTGGAAGCAGTCTTTGATCTCCCGAGTGACAGAAGCTATATAAAGGCACAGCCTCGGTCTAACCACAAGTTCTGTGTGAAGCCCTCATGGCTATAAATGGCTTGGGAAAGCCAGGAGCTTTTTCAAGGAAAAGTCATCCGCCAGCAATGCTGCACCAGTTTGTTTCTGAAGGACAGGCCAAAGCAGTCTGTAATTGACTCCATTTCTCCCTCTTAGTACATCACAGAAATCAGTCTCACCTGAAACACACATCGATGTGACAGCTGCAAAACAGAGGAATAACTCCCTGCAGGCAAAATAACTATTGATCCTCCACTTGAACACAAGTTACAAGATGAGGTTTAGGAGGAAACAGAGTGCAGGACACAGGGTGTGTGCGAGGATAGCACTAGTTTCAACAGCCAGGGAGGCACCCACCCTGAAGAGGAGCTGGTTAAGGTGCATGAATTAATTTACAGGGCTTCTCTGGCAGCATGCAGAACAGGACTGCAGCCAGAGGTTTCTACACTGCTGCCAAAGGTATCTGTTCTTTTGGACAAGACGGGCTGGGGCTCTCCAGAACGAGTTTCAGTGGATGGGGCATCACCAACTGCGGTGACTACCTCTCAGGAGGCAGGACAAAGTATCCTGCTCCTCTGCCATGTCTCATCCTTCCTGATGCAGCTCCAGCTAGTGCAGGCTCAGAACTTGCCACTGCTGCTCAGACAGTTCACCTGAGGAGATGCAGCTATCCAGCAGTCCTGCCCCAGCACCACTTCTGCCTGGGGCCAGACAATGGCACAACACACCACAGGTCTGGCAAGCCCAGCAGAAAGACAGAGCACTACTGCACAGGTGACCAAAGGGCAGCCTTCAACCTAAACATCTGCAACATCCGGGGTTTTCAAGGGCTGGCAGTGGGTGAAGCCAAGTGTCCTTCCTCTCCCATAGCTTGAGACTCTGCAAGATTCAGAGGAATGTCTCTATCATAACAGACTTTGTCTATGCCCACTTAGGGCATTCCCTAAACCTTCTTCAAGGAAGATCTGAGAATCCAGACTCTAGCCAAAAGACAAGCACTGGAGGGAATTGTCCAAAGTTGGGCACATCTCCATCTTGAAGATGGAAGAGGCAAGGCCCCAGGTCAAGCCCCTTTCTTTATGGGTTCAAAAGCTAATTTATCTGGTGGTAGTTTTGGGGGAAATTACTGGCTCCACTGTCCAGGGAGACTGGGAAAACTTCAGAGCCAGGAATTGAACTTAGACAGGCCTCAGGAACATGATATTCTGTCTTTCCTCGAGTTACTGCCTGGAGACAGTGTCAGCTATCGCCTAGCCTCTTGCTGCCCTGCTTCCTCTGTGACTTGCATCCAGTGTCCACAACCTGCTCTGGTGTCTAAACTGTTCCAGAAAAACTCCACATTTGGGCAGCCTCAGAAGCAATCCTGGCTGAGAACCCCTTCTTTCCGACAGAGAGTGCTCCCGATAATCCTTCCTAATCCCACCAGATCAGTTAGCTGAAATCTACCTTGACAGCTGGGGCTCTGCCAGCTTCTCCAAAGGCACTGATCAGCATACCAGAAATGTCTCCATGTCATTGGCCAGCCTCAGAGCAAGCTATTAAGAACATGAATGTGCCGTCAAAATTCCTTCTCTAAAGCCTTCAACTCTTTACAGCTGGTGGGGAATGCTATGGCAGCAGGAACATCCGTTTTCTCCTATGCCACCAAGCACGTGCTGGTGTCAGCATGGAGGCTGAGCTGAAATGGAAGGCAGCTCTCTAAAGTTAGACCAAGACAGTGGCAAGAAATATATACGGAGCCAGAAAGGAATTGTGACCGCTCTGTCAACTGAAGGCTGATGTGAGTGTTGCACACGATGGAATGGCATGCTGAATTCATCTTTCTCAAACTCCTGGAGAATGACTTTCCCACATCCTGCTGACCCAGAGTCAGCATGTTTCTAAATCCGTTTTTGATAGACCAGAGAATGACATTTGTCTTTTTATCAGTCAGTGTACCGTGGGTGGATATCTCCACTCAGCTGCATGTGACAGCTGCAAAATTCTCTTTCAGAAAGTCTCGTCACCGAACACGTTACGTCATTCTGGCCTTTCTCTATTTTTTCTTTTTTTTTAATTTTTAACAGAGGAAATTTGAGAAAAGCCATATAAAAATATCCAGAAGCCTGCAAGATTATGAAGTCACACATCTAAGATCAAAGATGATGTGAATCTCACAGAAGAGCCCGAACAAAACACGAAGGTTCCTGTCCAGCACTTCTTGCCCAGAAGCAGTTTCTAGCAAGGAAGCGGGGTCAGCCTTATGTCCTTTCCTTGTAAACCTCTCTTCTGTATGCACATCACATCCCGTGCCAGTCTAGAGAACAGACATTCTGTCAAGCTCCTACTTTGCAATTTCCTGTTGCTATGAACAGAGGGCAGGAAATTAACCTTGGCCTGAGGATGCCCAGAGACAGGGCTAACATCCCAAACATGTCAGACTTTTCATTTTATGTAATACTGTGCAGACATGTTTAGTTGGCTAATTGTGAATGCTTCCACTGAGCCTCTCCAGTGCCCTCTGGGCCCACTAATTCACAAACCAGCTCTCTTAAAGCACTCATTTGAAAACAAAACAATATGCAGCACAGGAATTAGCACTGGAATAATTCCAATGGGAAAAATAAACAATAAAAAATGTGGGCATGGAGAAAAGACTGCCCAGAAAAACTCCCCAGTGAATCTCTAGTGACCACCACTTACAAAACACTCTCATACATGGACTTTGACAGCAAAACAAGGAGAATTGGAATGTAAACAGAATGACAGCAGAATTGGGATCACACTGCCCACTGGGGGAATCACAGCTGCTACAAACAATTAATATTTATATTACAGTAGTGTCTTGAGGGAACAGCTGAGTTACAGATAAACAGAGAAAGCAATACTGCAGAGGTGTGTACATGTGTTTATGTGTAGACAGCACCTGAACAGTGAGATTTCTCTGTCTTGCTTGAATAGCACTTAGTGCAATGAAACCACCATCACAGACGTTATCTCCACAAGTATACAGAGAGTGAGAGAAAGAGGAAAAATGTGTGTGTGCATGTGAATGCATCCTAGCCTACAGCACTCTTTAATCAGGAGACAAGATGAACAGAGACAAGGAAATCCTTTGACCAAGACTACTGCCAGAGCTGTGCACTTCCACAAAGAAATCAAGCTGTTCTAAAATACTCCCGAACCTTCTAGAATTACTATAATTTATATAAAAAAATGTACATCATGAAAGGAAACAACAGATCAGAATCTTTTACTATAACAACTTGGCCTAGCTCTTACCTGCCACCCTCACCTTCTGTGACACTACCTCCCTAACAGAGCAAAGTCTATTAAGTGCTGAAGCAAAGCCCTGGTGGACCTTCTGGAGCTGAAGAGAAACCAGAGGTTTTTTCACAGCTGCAGCATGTGGCTGAGCAGGGTCCAGAGGCACCCTGGGGAGGCTCACACCTGACCACTCTTGGAATGAGTTACTTCCCATCACACCCTTCTGTCAACCTTTGACAGCACCAAAGGAAAATCCTTGCTTGTCATGTGCTACAGTAAGATGGTTTCAGTGCAAATGTCTTCCCAGACCAAGTGGGAGAATGCAGCTTTGCAGAGTACTGCCCTGTAATCACAGAATTCAAGTGCTTTGACAAGTGCAAAACACACAAATAACAAACAAATAAGAACAAGAACTCCAATGATGCATTTCATTCTGCAAAGATGCAGTCATATGTGAAATTACTCTCTTGCTCTTCAAAGCATGGAGGGTGAGAGTGGGGATGGCAGCATTCTGTGGAAAATTTGCATGCTACATCAGCATCTCAACATTTTGTTACACAGAAAGCATTTTAAACTAATATGCCAGCAAGACTCATAATAATATCTAATTAAGACTCTAAAACAGACAGTATCCTCAGTTCTTACCCTTGAAAGTTTGTTAATCCCTCCTTAAATATCAAATAAGAAATTAATTAATGTATTACAAACAAGGAGCTCTCTTACTGCTTAGGGAACCATGCAGTCTTTTCAGGTGAACACTAAAGGTGACTTATTTGAGAAACTGAAGGAGGTGACTTCATTTCACCCAGGAAATGGCAAATACAAAGGCCACTTCAGTAAAACCTGAACCTGCTGCCAGTAAGAGGACTTGGGATTCAGCAGACTTGGTTCTAGTCTCCTGCACTGGCTTTGAGCATATCACATCCATCTTTCAGCCCAAATCTTCCATCCTGACTGCAGACTGTTTTCTCTGTTCCAGGATTTCAGCCCTCTCAAAAAGGTACTGCACCCAGAGCGCCCACCTTGTAAAACCTCATGCTGTAATAATTTGATCCAAACCACTCTCTTTCTTCTCAGAGAATATCCAGGTTGGTTCCAATGAAACCAACAACTTCAGAAAGCCACAGCAGGGGAGGAGGAAATGTACTTGCAGTATGCACTTGCACTCCTGACAGCTGCAAAACGTGGTGGAAATGTAAAACAGCTTTCGAAGAAGCATGCTTCTGCAATACAGAGCAGTCTGGACAAGCAGCACCTTGAAATATTCCATGAATATTTCATCTACACTGGGGGGCAAAAAGCCTTAGCAACCTACTTAGCCGCTACCATTTATTTGATTTTTGACAGCTCTCAGTCATATGTTGCATTTTATGTTCCAACAGTATAGTTAAAAATGTACTATAATAAATTTAAGCTTGTGACAAAAGGCTTGGAGGGTTTCATTTGACTTTTTTTTTTTAGACTTCTTGCTGTCAGGAAGCACATTTTGTTAGAAACCAGTCTCTTCTTGCTTTGGCAAAAAAATAGTATCCTTTTATCCTTCAGTTTTGCAATGGAACAGAAGCTGCAGATTCCTACCAAGGCCAAGCTGTTGTTCAATTGCTTTGCAGCTGGTCTTGCAGGCACTGCAGTGAAGTACACTATGAAAAGGTGAGAAAGGAGGACAGCCTTACAGAAGGGGAAGTCATATGTATGAAATGCAAAGTTAAAAGCACCCTAGAGGAATCTGTGCAGGACACAGAGAGATGAGGCTGCCTTTGCTGGTGAAGCTGGCTATTTTTTTCAGCCGTGAGAGACAGCAACGGGACAGCAACGGAACAGATAGGGTGCACATGTGGATGGGACAGTGGAACTGCACTTCAAATTGTGAAAAGGGAGAGGGTGTCAAGGAAAGGATTCATGCCTGAATGTGTGTGTAAACAGGGTGCAGGGTAGAGAGATCAGCTACGCTGTGCGTCGGAGGGAAAGGAGCCTGGAGGTGGGTTGAGAGAGTGGAGAGGATGCCTGCTGCTTCATCCCTCTTTAATTAGTTTTCAGAAGACAGTGATTTCCCCTACCTTCTGCAAGTACAGGACGGTTCCCTTCAACACAGCATAAAAGGTTTTCCAGCCTCGCTTTCCCCGGGGAGCTGCAAAGAAAACAAATGAAAACCCATTTACTCAGATCCATTTTTACACTTTTTCTAGGCAACAGGAGAGCTACATTAGTCCTGTGTTAAACCTCCTTTGTACTATCCTTTTCAAAGGACAGTGCAACTTAGCACAGTGCCTGCACATACCTGCTGTGAGAGAGAGTAATACAACAACCCTGACGACAGCCCTGGACTGGATCAGAAAGAGAACAGCAGCAATGCAGAAAGAAGGCCACAGAGATCCAGTCTTTGTGGACTTGCAGGTAGGCAGACACTGCCCCTACACAGCTAGGTCTGAGTGCTGCACTGTGGTAGTTTTCAGAAGGAAACACTCTTTCTCCATGTCACAGTAGGGTGGCTGGCACTGCTCAGGACCTACAGAACACAGCTCAGAAAGCAGTGTCCCTCAAGAGCCATCCTTCGCCTTACTGGTACTGCACACCCAAGTTGGCATTTAGAAGGGAGAAGGGTGCCAAACAGAATTCTAAGGGAAAATATCCCACCCTTCAAGAAACCTAAAGTCAGTTACAGTTTGAAGAACATAACAGAGACAACATATCCAGCCCATGATTTCCTAGAAACAAACAGTAGGGGGAAAAAACTTTCAGCATGAAGGCTGAAGGGTCCAGTTTGAAATTCAGCCACAACAGAGGGAGAGAAGAAGGCACAGCTGTATGGTCACAGCGCCAGAGACTAGAAGCCTGCATCTAAGCTCTCTCTCCACCAAGCACACACCACTGACCAGCATCCAGATATATACATACCACTGCCCTTATACTGAAACTAATAACCCGTGCACAACTAAAGTGTGATACTCAGAAAGGCATCCTACTCTGATCTGAAGAAAGCAAGCGATGATGAAGAGTTTACAGGTCCCTTGCTCCAGAGGTTAATCATTCTCATCTTGTATAACAGACCTCATTTCTAATTGCCATTTGCTCAGTTCAGCTTCCAGGCATAGGCCCCTCTTACATCCCTCTCCTCTAAGTGCCTAAGTGCTTTAGCCCTCAATACTCCTTTCCTGAGAAAAACATACAAGCATTCTAGTACATCACTTCCTTAAAAATCCTGCACAAGCTGATCTCTGCCCTGCAACAGCCCAATTAGGAAATGGAATATGAAAAGGTCTAAGTAACTTAAAAAAAAAAATCTGTTTTGTTTTATTTGCCACTAGAAAGCCAGGATGCAACTTTTTTGAGAGCTTCACAACAATGAGACAGACCTCTGAGTTGTACAGGAGCTTTTGAAAACATGGCCTTAATTATGTTACTCATAAAAGGGTTATGCCCAAAATGAGCAGTTCTGATACCTATAATTAAAAAAATCATTTAATAAAGGCAACTAGATACAATTACTTATTAAGGTTAAATAAGCAGACGTTTAATAAAGAGGAATCTATTCAGAGCATCGAGTCATCACAAAGAATGAGGTCAGTTTGATTTTGACACATCTGTCTGGATTTAGTTGTTCAGCTGTCAGCTTCCATCTTAAAAACGCCGAGCTCCAACTGTACCCTCTAAAATATACTAGCAAAACATGGGAACACCAAAGAGCTTGCCTAGCTAGGAGAGACTGGCAGTTACAGGAAACCCATCACAAAGCCAGAATTTGTCTTCAGGATTTAGCCCAACAATGTGAACCATTAGCAGGCAATCATCAACAATTATCAGGGAAAATACAGATGCTCTGAGTAACCACGTTGTTTCCAATACCAATAGAAAACAAATGAAGATACTCAAGCAACAAAACACACACCGGTGAATCAGAGGCCCTCGATAATTAGTGCACCACAAACAGAAGTACTAAAAGAAGGAAAGAGGATAATTAGAGTAAGAGACGCAGCAGGATTATTACAAGAAAAGGGCAGAGAGGAATTGCATAGTAAAAAGCTGGCTACTGCCAAAAGCTGCTGCACTTCATTGGGTGTCTGACACAAGGCTGGAAAGGCAGGGAAGGGAATGGTTACAGCATCTTCCAAGTAGAGGTAAAGAACCGCCCTTCTTTAAAGAAAGTCCCAGAAGGGAAGGGAGATTTGGAACAAACTGGTGTCACGTAAGGAGAATTACCAAATTACTGTGGAACAGCTACTCTAATTCACTTGAAATTGTTTTCCCTTCTGTAAACCACGATATTAATTTTCTTTTAGCGCAAAAAATTCACATTGCTTTGCCGTATCACATTACTTATAATGCTCACGTATTAGAGCTGCTGCAAATGAGACTAAGCATTGTAAATCCTGGCCTAACAGTGAGAGTGTGATAATCCAATTGCTGTGTTGTTTGTTATTGCTTCAATTTCCCCTAATGAAGCAGCACTATTTGCCTTGAGAAGCACATGGGCTCATTGGTAAGCAGCATTGTGTAGACATAATAAGAAAATAACACGTTAAGAGTGAAAAATACTCACTTTTCTTTCCGTCCATATCAGCATGGATTTTCCGAGCCAGAAATCCAGTTTTATACACAGCAGCATTGGGGTCATGAGGGATGTCCAGGAATGGGTTATTTGAGTTGCCAATTCGACTGACAGCCTTTGTCTGGCTCCCATTATCCTTTTCATCTGTACCATCGGAGTGAGGCTTTTTTTTCTCTTCTTCATCCCTTAAAAAGCAGTGAAAATTAAGCATAAACTATGGACTGACCAGCAAAGTTTCATTTCAGCAATTCTTGAAAGCTCCTTGTCAAAACACATCTCTCTCTTTATAGGGGGTCTTTTTTACAGAAAAGCCTAAATACATGCTATATAAACGTAGTTGTATTATAGCAAAGCTTCAGGTCACCTTCTTCACCAGCACAGGACATAGAACCCAGATTTTCAATAAAGCCCAAGTTTCCATAACAGTCTCAAAAGATAAGACTTCAAGAGTGTTCTGTGTCCTCCCACATCACCTATTTTTAATTCCACTTATCTGAGTGCTAAAATGGGAAATATTTGCCTGCTGGGCTCTCCTGAAACTTCTCCAATTTCTTCATGAGTTCATATGTAGATGAAAAGAATTAGATTACTGCAGATCACTGTGGCTTACCCATTAACTTAGTATATGAAATACAGACTCTACCTCCTTTTCTTTATTTTCCTCTACAGACTAGCATAAAAGTAGTAATTTAAAAATAACAACTACTCTAGGTGAACTACATTATCTGTATTTTGGAAACAAAATGCTGCTCAAAATGTTACTTATGAGGGCAATGTATTCAACATAGCTCTTGGGGACAACAATGCACCAAATCACAGGCACCACCTGACTTATAAATGCCTTTTTGCTCGTCACAGGCAAAGGCTAAAAAGGACTCGACAACACAGAAAACAAAGGGTGTCAATCACAGGAGTAGGACAATGGTTTTCAGAGAACAGGCCACTGAACGTGGGTGGATGGTGTATCTGGAGGAACCACAGCTAGTGTCAGATTACAGAGCAGCCCTTCTTCCTTTTGAGTCCTTTGAAGTCCATGTACCAGTTTACTAGGAAATGTGTATCAGGGAGGATGAAGGCTGTCATTGGAAAGTCATAGCAGCAATGCTTCTCCTAAGACCAGTATCTGATTAAAAATATATATTATTATCATTTGAGCATAACGGTGGCTCATACTGACAACCTACTGGGGGTGGGCTTCAGGCTGCTGTATCTCACTGGACCCGGATGATCAGCAGAGAGAGCAAACTCAGGCAGACCTTCCAATCACATGTACATGTTCAAAGGCACGTATAAAATGAGGATTAGCAAGGCATATGTCGATCCAGAACCTCCTTTAGGGACACACTGCTACCACGTCTACTTACAGGAATGACCATTCAAAGAAATGTCCTCCGAGAACTGCAGGCTAGAGGAACAATCTTTGTTATTCTGAACTCTGCTGAAATGGAGGCTCAGGGGAGACCCCATCACTCTATAACTTCCTGAAGGCAGGCTGTAGCAAGGTGGGGCTCAGCCTCTTCTCCCAGGCAACCAGCGACAGGACAGCAGGACATCGCCTCAAGCTGCACCAGGGGAGATTCAGGTTGGACATCAGGAGGAATTTTTTCACTGAAGGGGTTGGTTAAGCGTTGGAATGGACTGCCCAGGAAACTGGTGGAGTCACCATCCCTGGAAGTGTTCAAGAAATGACTGGACATGGCACCCAGTGCTATGGTCTAGTTGACAAGGTGGTGTTCGGTCAAAGGTTTGACTTGATCTCAGAGGTCTTTTCTGAACTAGATGATTCCAAACGAAATGATTCTATGATTCTATGAAATGGTCTTCTGGGGAATAATTTAGTCTAAGGGGATAAAAGTACACTAGACTGGATAATAAGGAAACCAAATCCAGAAACACAGAGGCTGTATTAGCGAACTCCACAGTACCAGGGAATGTTCCGAAGCATTTGACTTTGATCACCTCATATTAATTTATGCTTGGCATGGTCTCAGCCCAGCACACTCCCGGACACCATTTAGGAATCAGTACGATCAAGGACCACCCTAAGAAGGACCATCTTAACAGGCAGAGGGGAAACAAGGGTCTCCTTTCAGAGGATACAACTTTTCAACAGTGTGGATACAGATGCTACACATTGACATTTGTCCACAGAGTCACACAAAGGTGCTAGACACTTGATTTAATTGTAGAGATATAGTCAAGGAGGTGCACCAAAACTTCATGGTGTTGTCTTGCAAGGTCTCCTGATTAAGGGGAGCAAAACTTTCACTTGAAGACCTGATTCCTGCAAGGGACATTAGTCCTTGCATCTTTTAGCCTACTTATGTGTGCTCTCCCACTCCAGAACAGAAAGTTCTGCAAAACTTTTTACTGGTCAAAGCAGTAAAGGACTTCTTCATGTATGCTTTGGTTGAAACCCTTTCCCAATTAAAAAAGTGTAGGCATTTCTGACAATTTTGTTTGTCCCCACCCTTCCTGTGTCTACTACACTCACAAGCTGCTGACAAACCTGAATCATTGTGTGACATGTGTTTCTTAGATATATGTCCATTTCAGGAGCAAATTCTCTCAACACGAGTCTATGGCACTTAATCCAGACTAAAATCTCTCAAAGGGCATAAGTACTCAGGCTGATTTGTCACACAGAAGTGCCTTGTGAATTCTGGGATCTCAGCCAAGGACACAGTGGATTTCTCCTTGTCAGCAGAGACCTACTGCAGTAAAAGGCTTAACATTTTTTTGGAATAAGCTCTCTCCTTTGAGCTATGGGAGAGAATTATTGTATACTGATCAACTGTCCTGTGGGAATACACCAATGCCCTTAACCAAGCAGCCCCAGGTGGTGTGATGAGCAACCCTGGACAATCCTGGACACCACTTAGTGCTGGGAGCAGTGCTCTTAAACTCAGCACCTCTGCGGCAGCTAATAAAACATGAATTCTTCAAAAGACAAGGTGGACAAAGACAAAGTAGCATCTGTTGTCATGACTGCTGGTAGCTTTGAACAAACCTTTAATTGGTCCTTTGATCTACCATGAAAATGGGACATCTGTGAGACTCAGAAGATTTAGGCATTTCTGAGAGCTGCGTACTCTGACAACACGCATGAGGTCAAGATGCACAAGTCAGTCTGCAGGCTGCAATGAAGGAAGCTAGAGAGGCAGGAAGGACTCATTACAAACAAGAAATGTATGAGACCCAGAAGATTCATTTTTTCAAATACTCCATGTTGGTTCAGTGATCAGGCATAAGAAGAATGCAGGACGATTGGGAGGACTGTCACAGCAGCAAAAAGTTCAGCTATTAGCCTATGCTCAGGTGTCCTCCAAAGTTGGCTGAGTAGATAAATCCTGGATACTCTTTACCAAGGATGTAACCATTCGAGCTTACTGCTCACAGGCCTTTAGGGTACACTTGCGAGGAAGAACCGAGAAAATTCAGCGGGCCTCTGGGTACATAAACCTGAAAACTGATCTTTGTTTGAAACCCTGGCCTGTGGGGGATCTGCCTATCTCCCCACCCTCAGATGCCTCTCACCGGACAGTCAAGCCCCGTAACATCCCCAGCACCAGGGCAAGAGTCAGTGGGTGGGGTCTCTGTGCAGGTATGCTCAGACTCATGGATGGGATGTAGTGTCACACAGGCACAGCTCAGGTCCTTTTTAAGGGCAGGACCGGTGCCTCTCCTTTCTATTTCATATAGAAACGAGCACAATCCTGGTGCCTTTGGTGAAAAAAACCCACGGGGGGTCCAACACACCTTTCAGTAGCCAAACATCACCATGAAGGTCCACTTAGGTTTGCAGAAGTCTTAAGAGATTTTCTGCCTTTGATCAGCAGAGGAAGATTATTCCTGGCTCTGGGTCTGGAATCAATTCCTCTGGTGACCCCTTTGTGATGACTGGAAGGGGTTGATAGCTGTGAAACCTCTTGCAGGTCCCACTTTACATCCACAGGAAACGGGACCTACAGTGTCTCTGTTCTGCAGGATACCAGGGACAGGAAAAGACCCCAATACTCTGCTTATGGCACATGGTATTTGCAAAGTGTCCCAAAACAAGGAGCTTCAGTTCCACCTCCCTAAGCCTGTCTCTTTGGAAAAGGACCTGCAGACAGAGCAGCAACCAGCACTCTGGGTGCCCATGAGAACCAGCACATCAAAGCCAGGATCTGCTTGCTCTATCACTCCAAGTCAGAGCACTGAAACAGCAATGTTTTCCTTTACAAACACATGATTGCTGACAAGTAGAAAGAGTTTGATTCTTATTCTTAAACACACAGATTTTAAAAACTTAAAAATCCAGATGTTGCCATTCCGGTGAAAAAATATATTTTTTGCCTCTCCCCAAAAAGACCCTATGCAAGGAAGTCCCATTTTCATATTCTGGGAGAAAAGCACCATCCAGTTCTCTCAATAACAAAAATATTACTGTATTGTCTATGGTCTGATTTGAGGCTCTGCCTTGGAAAACCTTGGAGTCACTATGCCGGAAAGATGGAGTCAAGCCCTTAATTTCTAAAAAGCTGGTTTGTCTCTGCATTTGTTCAAACAGCAAACTGACATGGCGTGGCAAAAGGTTGGGTTCATTAATTTAAAAATTTTAATTGAAAAGCAATTCAGATTTGTGACATATGCATCTGTGGAATTGATAGCATCTGTATCAGGAAAGTGACTTGAAAGAAGTTTTGGCAATTTGGAGGGAAGAAAGGAGACCCAAAAGATTACCACCTGACCCCCCACTAAAGCAAAAAAAGAAGCTGCAAACAGGAAACATCCTTGAACTTGGGAGACAAAGAGTTAATTATAATGGGGAGAAGTTTCTCAGTTTGACCTAGAAAAAGGTGAGCTTCAGCACAGATGTCTTTATAACCACCTTGATCTCAGCATCACAGTTTGATTTGGCAGTGTCCCTTTTCCACTATCACTGTCTCAATGACCTGTTTTGTTTTGGCTGAAAGGAGATAATTTTTCACTGTAGTCCAGAAAAACAAAAAAGAATACACCATGTCCATGTCTAAACTTCTCTGGAAAAAACCCTTTATCATCAACTAGTTAAAAATCAAGTGATTCTCCTGAAAACTATACTGTTCTGCTGTGAGAAATCTTTTGGGATACAGCTGGCTCAAATGCAGCCATTTGGCTTTAGCAATTTTGTAAGCAGTGCTTTGGGATTTTGTATGTTAATTCTAGATCACCTATTTTAAGATGATGATTTTATTATTCCCATCACCTTCAACAGGAAACAGACATAGTATTACAAACAATGGAGAACAGTAGTGTTCACCACCACGTTTCCATGTAAACATCATGCAGACAAAACATATTTAGCTCTGGCATCTTTGTAATCAAATTGATTTTTCTCTTCCAGCTTAAAGATGATAATGATCAGTGTGAAAGCAAAAGGATGAGAAACATCTACAAAACTTGGGATATAGTATTATGGACAATGAGACTGAAGGGATGTTAGGAGGCTGGCCAATCCATCTCTAAGGCTGGATCCACTCTTCCTAACCCACTCCAGACAGAATAACCAGTTCACAAAAACCTCCAATGAAAGCATTTCTGTAGCTCATTCAGGTAAACCTATGCCCTGGTTTAAAAGGCTTATGGCTAGCAAGCTTCTCTAAAGGTTGATCCCAAACTTCCCTTGCTTCATATTTAAGCCCATCCACAACGGATGTGAAGAATAATTCGCACCTTTGGGAGGTGCAGTGAGGAGTAGAAGTGTGCTTCCACTAGTTCTGGGTAAATTCCAGGTCAGATCTCTTTATTTTACAGATCATGGTACGTGATTCACTTTTAACTTTGTGGAGAACTTGAGTCTGGCACTACTGCAGAAAAAGAACAGTAATACAGTTATCTCTTCAGAGCTGTACTCGTGCTTTCCTGTTCATAAAGGATAAATGAATACTCCTATTGAGAGTCTCTGAAGCACATCTGCTAAGGTGCCACTTTTCTTGACTACAAAATTGAAGTCAATGATAGCCTTTTCTTTGCATGGGCTTTGGATCAGACTATAATTCTACTGGAAATGCACAGCAAAGCATTTAGGATGATGACATGCCTAGCTCACAACTAGTAAGATAAGAACCAAGGTAGCAGTCTTTCCCCCTCTTCTGTATCACCATTACCCTCCCCTGCCTATGGACTTATTGATAGCCACTAATCCACCAAATAATGTATTTCCAGAGCAGCTCTTAAACCTGCGTTTAGCTCATAAGAGTTTTAGATCCTCAAAGGGATCCTGGCTGGAGGAAAGGCATTCCTTCAAAATGCCAGCATTGCAAGGTTTTGCAGACTTATCTTCACCTCTGACTTACCTCTCACTTCTTCCCCTGCCAAGTGCATCAGGGAAGCAAAAGAATAATCTTTGGAAGAGAGAGTGGACCTTCCTCAATCCCATCACAGCAAAACTGACCATGTTTCCTTCCTATTCAGCCTTCTCTGCAGATCACAACAGCAGAAAAAGAGAGTTCTGTGCCTCCTCCCTCTAGCTCAGGCAACCACAGGACTCCTTGGGGTTATTACTTTACACCAATCACACCCCTCTGTAAAAGTGAGGAGAAACATCTTCACACTCCCTCTTTCAGCTAGTACTCTCAGCTCTAAAGGTAGAGGCACAGTCTCTTTGACTGCCCAGAATGAATTTTGTTTCTCATCATGGAAAGTAATTGTCACATCAGTCCCGGCCATCTGTCAGTCTCAGACAGGAACAGACTACTGGCCTCTTTGAGCATTCCCCTGTGAGAAGGTGACTTTATACCTACCCGAAGTCTTATTTAAGGAAGAGTCTGAATTCTTCCTCTTCCAGGCTGCTTGCAATTTTCCCCCAAATAAGGGACATGGACTAGACTACATAAATGCCAAAGCAGTTACCACCTATACAAGAGAAAACGATCTCATAAATCACCTTGACTGAAGTTCATGGGACCAGAGCCAGTCATGAGCCAGTTCCCACCTGGAGGCTGCCCAAGCGTATTAGACACGGTATGGTTTCCTGGCAAGAGCTGGAGGAAAATTCTGACATCAAGAAAGTCACATAATGGATTCTGTTGGGTCTAAAGTACCTGTGACAGGGTCTGGCAGACAGCTCTGATGTGACATGTAAGATTCACACGGCGTGTTCCAGGTCCAAGACATGGTCTGGGAAAATGTCTCCCACCATGATTTTTATGATATTTATCAGAGATGGCACTTTTTGCTGATTCCCCTTAGCAGCACACCTTCTTTACTACTCTGACATTACCTAACAAACATCTGAACTGGGACTGCAATCTTAGTTGGAACCAGCAGCCCTTTTTAAGTGAGGCTGCACACCTTGACAAGAAACTCATTTGCAGATCATGAACTTAAAACAAGGAAGACTGGAAGCCAATTGGCCTGCAAGACCTATGGCAGTTGCTAGGACTTCTAGCACAAAAGGTGCAGCAGCATGCACTCCAAACATATATTATTCCCAAGAAGGTAAGCTTTCAGATATGTAAATACATGCAGGGAAATATTTTGTACAGCCAAAATAGATAGAAAACAGCATTCTTCTATTTTACACCAAAATCCACTGTTCTGCAAGATCTAAAGGAGACCCTTCTACTCTTTGCTGGCATAACTAGACCACACGAAACCTGCGCACAGAGAAATGTCAATTTAACACAATCAGAAATAGAAGCTTTTGCTTGTCTGCAGTATTTCCACAGTTAACAAGTGTTAGCCTGTCAAAAGCATGTAAGGATTGGGAGTGATATCAGACTTTGTCCAATTTATCATCTTTCATATTAGGCTGTTGTCAAGTTATCCATAGTTAATCAGGAGACAAACCAAGACAATAAACCAACAGCAGGAAACTCAATCCAAGACGTGTGTTTCTATTCAGCGGTTCTGACACAATGTACGGAAAGATAAAGGGAGAAGTCAACTTCTGTTTTATTTATGCAGTCATAGAACAACAGAGGATTTAATTTCTCTCTTTTCAGGCTGAAGTTTCCTACTAAATGAAATGTCCTCTTCCCTTACAAATGTAGTTGGCTCCTATCATTAACAACTCCCCTTGCTGGAGAAACAGATGAGGCTGAATTGCCAGGTCATTCATTACCAGAAAATCAAACTCATTATGTACACTGGCTATCTTCTACAGGCTTTGGAGCCCACACAGATGGTGTCATAGGAGGTATAAACAGATTACTATACAGGTACTATTTTTAAACTCCTAATTTCTACACAGTATACTTACACTGCCCATTCCAGCTTCTCATTCTTGATTGAATTGTAGAGGGCCTGCAAATGGAGAGAAATGAGATGGAATTATTGCTTGACCCTTATCACACATGAATACATTGAGGAAATATACACATATGTTGAGGAAAGGTACCCAACTAATATCAGCAAGCAAGCTGCCTCTGACCAAGAAAGTACCATATCTGCTCATAGGAATGCAAAAATGTGGAGCAGAAATCTCACCTTCAGAAAATATCCTAAACGCAGGTTTTGAGACTACAGTCATTTCCCCAAGCAGGTTTTTGGGGTTCGTGGTCTGTGCCTTTTTACAATAGGAGGATCACAGAATGGTCTGGGTTGGAAGGGACCTTAAAGATCATCTACTTCCAACAACCCTCCCATGGACAGGGTCACCTTCCACCAGACCTCCATCCAACCTGACCTTGAACATTTCTAGGGATGGGGCATCCACAACTTCTTTGGGCAACCTGTTCCAGTGCCTCACCAACCTCACAGTAACGATTTTTTTCCTAATATCTAATCTAAACATACTCTCAGTTTGAAGCCATTCCCCCTTGTCCTGTCACTACATGCTCCTGTAAAAAGTACTTGTGAGCTCCCTTCAGGTACTGGAAGGCTGCAATTAGGTCACCCCAAAGCCTTTTCTTTTCCAGGCTGAACAATCCCAGTTATCTCAGCCTTTCCTCATAGGAGAGGTGATCCATCCCTCTCCTCATCTTCGTGGCCCTCCTCTGGACTCGCTCCAACAGATCCATGTCCTTCCTGTGCTGAGGACCCCAGAGCTGGATGCAGTGCTCCAGGTGGGGACTCACCAAAGCAGAGGGGTAGAATCCCCTCCCTTGCCATGCTGACCACGCTGTTTTTGATGCAGCCCAGGACACAATTGGCTTTCTGGGCTGTGAGTGCACATTGCTGGGTCATGTCCAGCCTCTCACCCACCAGCACCCCTGAGTCCTTCTCAGGATCTCTCGATCTGTTCATCCCCAGCCAGTGCTGATACTGGGGGTTGCCCTTACCCAGGTGCAGCATCGTGAACTTGGTCTTTTTAAACCTCATGAAATTCCCACGGGCCCACTTCTTGAACTTGTTTAGGTCCCTCTGCATGGCATCCTGTGCTTCTGGTGTGTCAACTGCGTCAGTCAGCTTGGTGTCATCTGCAAATTTCTGAGGCTGCACTCAGTCCCTTTGTCCATGTCATTAATGAAGATATTATAACACTGGTGCCAATATGGACCCCTGAGGGAAACCACTTGTCACTGATGTCCACTGGGACTCAAGAGACATTGACCACCACGCTCCAGATGTGATCGTCCAATCGCTTTCATATCCAACAGTCCTTGAAATTCAAGGTTCAACTTAATTTCCGACACTCAGTGAGACCTTTTTGTCATTTATTTTAATGGGGGCCAAGATTTCACCATATCGGCTTGCCTGTGAAAACCTGCTGAGGAGCTCTGTACCAAATGCAAACAGCCAAAGGGCATTTCTGCCAATTTGCAGGCATTTTGCCTAATTTTCATATGAGGCCTATCAAGAGATTTTAAGACCACTGTGCAGGAAGAAAGCAAAAGAAAGAGCTAGTATTTCTCCTACCATGTTGCCAGCAGCCCAGCAGAATCAGACACACCTCCATTTTTCTACACAAGCTCATGCTGATGCTAGCTGCCTGGGGTCACCCAGTATTTTTTATTAGAAGCCACTATGTTTCTTAACTATTTGGCCAAAGCCCCCCTCTTATTCTTTGACTCACTCTTATCTTCCTATTATGATCAAAATATCTCTTACATTTTGAGCCAGAAAACTACTTCAAATAAAAGGGATAGTGGCTGCATATTTTCCCCAGTTGCTGCCCCATTTTTTCAGAAGTAGCATTTTTTTCCCCATCAGCTGGCTGAATGAGTTTTTGAAACAGCAAAAACCTGGCTTGGGGAAACACAATTGTTGCTCTATGGCCCAAATGCCTACAATATTGGGTCACAACCTCTGAAAATGAACACCTGCTCTGTGCAGTACTGCATTTTATGAGATTTCACTGCTAGGAGACTCTCTAGGGATCACTACAGTCAAAGAGCAGGACACACGAAAGCAGAAGTCCAGATTGATACAGGAACAACAAATGCCCCAGGCTTCTGCCTCGTGAAATGTGACATGTGTTTGTCCCAATCTCTACTAATGAGCCAGACTCCCTCTTCCTTCTTTAGGGAGTAACAGACACTAACCCAGTCATATGGCACACATTTGACAAAGGACACTGTCTCCTACAGAGCATCAAACATAGCCTGTCAGAAAGTCTCTGCTATTTACAAAACAGAAAAAAAATCCTAGGGAGTATCCACAGCCTGGGCAGCTGTCTACAGGGCATGTCTGGTGTGTCTACCGAGCATGTTCACGGAGAGCTCAGCAAGGAGACCTCTCAAGGGATGCAGACACATGAGTTCTCATGCCTGTCCTCCAACCTACGTCTCTGGCAGAGACCAGGCTGCACACCTGATTCTGGACTCACCAGCCTTTTAAAGCTGTTTTATGTCCCTTCTCCAAAACATTTTATGCTTTAACATTTTCCTGCTGTCTACTGGGCACTCACATGTTCCAGAGAAGTAAAATTTCCTCCTGCCATGTTTTGCAGCCAGTAGCAGACGTGTACAGCACAGCACCTGCTCTACCATTTATTTGATGGCTGTTCCCCAAGGCCCTGATTCAGACAGCAGCTCTTTTCAGCAGACATTTCTCCAGGGTATGACTAAATCAAACAAACTCTCAGACAAGCACCTAAATGCTTCACTGAATTGCAACAAGCTGATCAGAGATTATGGCGTGGTCATGACTTTCACTGTACTTAACTGGCTGCAAGAACAGGTTTTATTAACTCATGTTTTCTCTCTGGGAGATGGAAAAAAAAGGAAAAAACCTCTAATTTAAAACACTCTTACAGTTTGACAACAATCACCACTTCTTACCTGCTAGCAAATTCACTGTGTAAGCCAGAAAATGGGAGGCTCAACCACAGCAGGGAATGCTAGAATGAATACTGTGTGGGTCTCATCTTCCAAGCTGGATTGATACCACTTGGAAAGGGGAAAGACCTTCTATCTCTTTTGGCACCCAAGGCTACTATAGCCAGGATCCAAACCCCAACATATCAACCACCCAGGAGTGTCCGACTTCCAACGCTTTGACTTTTTAGTTCTATTACCCAGAACGCAAAGACATATTCCTTAACAGCTTACATCTTTCCTCTTTCTCATAATTGCTGATCTCTTGGTCCACCGCACCTGAGGCGCAGTACTGCTGTTAGCTTCTTGGAGAAACAAATGCAGTTTTGAAGGCAGAATAAAAGAAATTGCTGCATAAAACAGAACAGCAGGCAAAATCATAGACATCTTCTTTACTTTAACTCCAGTGCTCTTTCTTACAGCTTCAATTTGAACCTTAGAAGATTGCAGTGTAAAAAAAGATGAGATTTTTCATGTGTTTGTGGGATTTGTTTGTATTTCTTCATAAACTAGGCAAGAACCACTTTCCTTTTTAAGTGGAAGGCTGTAACTCTTTAAGAAACTGCTGAATCCCATCCCCATTTTCCCTTTGGTAAGCAGGTAGGACAACTAAAAACCCAGATTTTCACAAGGCTCTCACCAGTTGGTACTTTTATTCCAATGGGAAAGAGAAGCAAAACTATGCAGAGAACGCTTTTGAAAACTCCTGTTTATTTTATAGAGCTGCCAAGAAAAAAAAAAGGTCACTCGCCATCCTCACCTTCCTCAAAACCTCCTCACATGCACAAACCACTGGACCCATTTAAACAGGCTGCTCTTGTCACCTGCCGGCTGCCAGCTATGCTGTGAGTCACCCTCTGCATGCAGAAGCAGTGCACAAAAGAAAGGCACAAGCAGGTGAGCAAAAAGGCACAAAGAGGTAGCAAATTACCCAGATACCGATCTTGGTAAATCGTCTAGGAAACAGCCAGCACAGGGTCCGCAAAGCCTGGCCAGCAGGGTGCAAGATGCTGAAGAGGTCCCAGAGCACTGTACAAGCCCTCCCCTCAAAAGGCAACATAGGGCTGTCTCATGAAGCAAACTACTGATTTGCTGTATGCACCAGCCCATGCAGAAAAGCCTGCCAAGAGGGAAAGGAATGCACCACAGGTGTTCTTTATTCTTGCTCCACACACAAAGGAGGAGCCAGAAACACCTGCCATGAGCAGGTGAATAGGCAAAACCAAACCCAAGTTCAGAGAGACGGCAGGGATGACCCAGACTGTCTTCTCTAGTTCTTGTCTCTCATGCTCTTTGCTCGCAACCAGTTCCTCTCTGATTTCTGAAGTCATTGTCAGGGAAAGGATCATCTGATCATTATAGGATGTAGCCTAGGTGGGTTTTAATGCCCCAAGGACAGGGATTCACTCGTGCTCTCTGAGCCAGGTCCCTGCCACTCTTCCCTGCTACCACTGGCAGAAGCCCTGTCTGAGTGAATTTCTTCTTCACCTTCAGCTGACGACGGCATGCTTGATCCCAGGCAGCCAAGGAAGCCCTGGACGCACCTCTGGGCAAAGACATGCTCAGTCTTTGCAGTTAGAAGTTCAGCATCTCCCCCAGTCACTCAACACCCATCCACTGGCTCTGCCCTTCGGACCAGAGCAGCCAGCCAGGCATCAGCCCCAGCTCCTGCCATATGTGCTTCATAGGAGGGAGGAAAAACAACTAAAGTAGCAGAACCCTACAAAAATAAAACAGGTTACAGAGGCAAGAGATACCACACATGTTAGGTGTCTGAATGGAGTCTAAGAGGTGTTAATGTGTTCATCCTTTGGACCAGGGCATAGCTCTGTGTCATTGCCTTCTGCCAGGTTTGGATGGGGTGTAACACACTGCTACATACCACTCCTGGCTTGCTGTTTAGGTGACTACGTGAAGGTGGCCCTCCCCCAGAACTGTTGCTTGCATACAGATCTATACTACTTCACCACCTGCTGTTTGACACCCTCCCCCAAAATCCAGATCTTGACATTTTCTCCTGTCCTCGTGCACAGATCTGTAACACTT